AACTTTAGAGAATTTCGTTTGCAAGTCAGGTTGGAAAGCTTTGAGAGCAAACCTTCTTCAACGGGGAGTTATCTCTAGATAATAAATAAAAGCCGAATGATGAAAACTGTTGCTCCATTTCAAATTTCCTGCAACGAGAGTGATTATAGGAAGGATATTTTGGTCTTCACAATTGCTTATTTTCTTATTTATTTATTCATAAAAAAGGCATGCACTAGGATTTGAACCTTGGTCTCTTTAAAGGCAAGCAAGGATCATAACCAATCACACTAAGTATATTTGTTGTATCTATTTAAATTCAAACATACACAAACCTAAATTATGAAAATCATATGACTTTTTTAACGATTAGTTGGCCACTGAATCTCCCGTAAGTACTTATTTGGTGTTTTAATACTTTGATTATTTTAGTTGTAGTTTAAACTTAATTTAAATTTCTATCTATTTTATAAATATACAATAACCCTAAAATTGCAGCCCAAATATCACCGGTTCGAATATTGCATATCGAATTGCAATATTAAACATGTAGAAGCAATATCGACTTCTTAAATTAATATTATTTTTCAGAATTACTATGGAGAAATTATATATTTGTGCAAACTATATGAGACTGGTTCTTTTAATGTTTTAGTCGGGATAACCGCTACATTTTAAACTTCTTCATAATCTGGCATGATTGGATCCAATGATCATTATACAAGATTGTGTTTAATAGGGTGGCTCATTTCACCACTTTTTGGCGTGTTAATGAATTTGTAGGACAATGACAGGTCTACATCTACACTCATCACAATCTACACATCATATAAATGTGAAATGTGAAATGAGAAAAGAGGGATTCCATTTCAAATTTGATGCGTACAGAGCAATTTTTTAGGGGTAAATTTAGAAGATGCCAGTGCGGTCGGTCTGTTGAGCACGAAAGTAAAAATATTTTTTCATTTAAACGGGCCCAAACTGTTATTTGGCCCACTAATCGTGCACCCATCGCCAATGTAGTCAAATTCGGGATTTTGATCGTAAAATCGTAGGATTTTAGGATTTTACTTAGGGATTCCGATCTTGATTTTACTATAAAATCGGTGGACCTTAAAATCGTTTAAAATCGGGACTAAAATTGTTAAAATCGTAAAATAGTACCGAAATCGGGATTTTGATCGTAAGAGAACAAAATAGGTGGTTTGAGCCAATTTAAAATAAGTATAACTGTTTCAGCGGAAAGGGCAATGGAATCTTCTCAGATATTTTTCTATTAGAAAAATATTCAAAAATAATAAAAATAACCAAATTAGGGTTCGGTTAATCTCTTTCCCTTCACCCCATTTAACTTATTGGTACACCTGTCCTAATATTGGAAGTATGTAAGAACTAACATCATTATTAACTAATTAATTTATTAATGAATATATTTGTACCAAGCCACTAACATTACTTATTTTATTGGAGTTCAATTATTTTTAGTTTTAAATCATACTTAGTAGACGATGTCGAAATATTACTTTGAGTTAAACAACCTAGACATAACATGAAAATAAGAGCCAAACCCATGAACTATATCCCTTCATCATGAATTATTTTGAGTTACACATTAAATAACAATTAAAATAGTGATTTTGGAACATTAATCTTGAGAATTATCTTATGGAAAAAAAATCTTCTGAATTATCATTTTAAATGCTAGGTGTCTTTGTGATATTAATAATTTACCTTATTAATATTCTTATATGCTATGTTCTATATGGTACTTAAAATCCTACGATTTTACGATTCGATTATAAGATTTTGATTTTACCCCAGTTTTCGATTTTAGGTAAAATCTCGATTTTAACTGCTTTGCCCATCGCAGCCTCTCCAAATCTTCTTATTCTACTCGCCGGGTCATCTCCTCCACTACAAAATATCTCCTCATGTACTCAAAGTTCTCACTGAAACCTAATATCTACAACTTAGGCGCAGAGGGAGCAACAGATGGATTGTAGCAACCCCCACTTTTTTGATAGCTAATCAAGAAGAGCGCGTTTGTTTAGTTGTATGGTGATTCACTTAATTAACAATTTTTATTCCATTGACAGCCTCCTCTCCGCAATTGTATTGTGTTCACGAAGATCTGAAGGCGCAAGTGCAACAGGTCCAGGGGTAAACAATATGTATAAAGCGTTGGCCAAATTGAATTGAGTCATTCTACTTGGAATATGAAGATTTTTGCTTAATTGCTTTGGTTCGTGATGCAACTATGTTATGTTTGAAGGTAGACCAACGCAAACAACAGCACAGCTCCAGGGCTATTCTGCACATTAGGTAGTTGGGGCATTAATTGATAATTATTTGGGATTATTCCTACAAGTACATAATTTGGAACGTGCCTTTATATTGCATTGATTAATAGTTGTTTGAGATTTTTTAAATGAGTGATTTGACATGTTAAACTCTCTTATTTTTGAAAATGGAGTCTTCGAAGTGGAATATGAAGATTTTGGATTAAGCTTGGTTTCGTAACGCCCTTATGGGTGTTTATTCTCTAAAATGCAGCTGTCTTTCAAAGTGCCCGTTGCAAATGGCAAGTCAGGATACAACGATGGTACCGGTACACGTTTATATCATTAGTAGGTAGCAGATTGTGTCCATTCTACTATATCATTTAGCTAAATACTTAGTTGTTCTTTTCAACTAAAAATTATGCTTAAATGCTGTGATTGGCCTCAGAAATGTATGTCTTTGCATTAACTGTTAATGATTGTGAGTTTTCGTTTAATGGTGAAAAGTCCATTTATTTAGAAGTCTAAATTGGGCAAACCTATTGGACAATAGGAATGCCATACATTAGTGTCGTGGGAGGTTTGTTTGATGTCTCAGGGTGTTAGATTTTTAAGAAGGTTGTTTGTTGTGACAGAGAGTCCCTAAAGCTAGCGAGGTATTCCTATGTGGGCTTTTTCTTTGTTTGACTTTTTCTCGCCTTTTTTCTTATCTCTTTTTCTATTTTTGGTTTTTGTGTGCTATCTTCAGTTGCTACGTCTTCATTTGTGAGCCATCTATACTTTTCTTATTCAGTGCCTAAAAATCATATATACTCGATTGCATAGTAGTTACTAATAGATACATTTATACCAATAGAGAGATTTTAAGTTTTATCAGTTGTTAGTTTTAATATTTACTTACATTGGTTGTTTATGTAGTTTTCTTTGTAATATTTCTCATTATACAACTAATTACTATGGCTACGTAGTTGTATAAGTGGGGGTTGGACATGATAGTTCTTAGAAGCATCAATACTTGAAGGTTATTATAATGACCAAATTCTAAAGTTATGGTTTGCCTTCAACTTGCTTGGAGCATTTCAATTATGCATCAATTGTTCTCTCCGTGTAGTTAACTCTCAGACAAATCGAAAATCTTGCTGATATGTGCTTGATTGTAGTTAAATTTAGGGTTCTACTGCATTGTTGCTTTACTCTTTTTTCGTGGTTGAGTCTGCTTCAGAAAATTTAGTTTGATTTTAGAAAATTTTGCTTCTGCAGTCCTGTCTTGCCACCAACGCGTTCAATAGATGGAGACGGGAGAGGCGAATGCTATTTTTGTGTTGTTGTTGCTGGTTTAGGGATCGGTTTGTGAAGAAGAGGGAGAAAAGAGGGGGAATGGGAAATGCAGGAGAGGGGGTTAACTCTTTTCTCCGACAAAAATGGAGTGAAGAAAGGAATTATGATCAGTAAGAATATGGTTATCTTACATAACGGTCTCTATTTTGTTTGAATTGAGCTTGAGAGGCAGTGATAAGGACGAGCTGCAACCAATTCATAGTGAGAAGAGAGCTATGAACTGTGATCATGTCTTATTTCAAGTTAGAAGGTAGTTTCAGTATAAGGATTATTTAATTTGACAAGTTATTTCGTCCATGATTCTTGGTAGTTTCAGTGCCATTCTAGCCAATGTTTAGTCTGTAATTTTTGAGAATTGATGTGCGAGTAATAACTTTCACTTATCTTCAACTATTATGTGTGTATTTATTGGCATGTGATAGAATTCTCTTTTCCTTTTCATTGAATTCATTTTCATACTCTAATTGTATTATTTGTACATAGGCAAATCATGCTCGAGATGGCAACTCGCTGATATGGCTGGTGCAAGGAATGAAGCCATCATTAGAATTCAGACCGACAACGGGGAGGGATGCCCAGGACTAATTCAATGATGATTGATGATGGTATAATAAAAACTGCAGTCTGCATCAGCACCAATTTCTAGGCCTAAGTAAAGGTATTCAACCCAGAACTCTGCTTAGCGCTAAAAATTGCCCTCACCCAACCTTGATCCTGTTTGACCCACTTCTGAAGAGTCAAGATATATGACTAATCCTCCCCGTTCGTATTTTCTTATTGACTCTTTCTGACCCTGTAGGTTGGGGCGGGTCGGGAAGAATTGGATTAGTGGGTCGGTCCTAATCAAGTGGAATCCCAATCCCTTCACTCTCACTTGCTTTCTCTCCCATTCCACAAGTGGGTAACATACAGTAATCCGCCCAACGGGCCGGGTAATAAGCTAGTTTGTAAATAATTTACGGTCCAAATAACTAATTCAAATATCTCATCCAAATGAGCTCTATATCTGTTGTTTTTCAAAGATCCAAATAACTCATTCAAATATCTCATCCAAACGAGCTCTATATCTGTTGTTTATTTTTCGGAAATATCTATGAAAAAAAATAAATTGGAATCGTGAAGCGGGGGAGTACGTAATGTTTTATTTTTGGACAAGGTAAGGAAAGTAGAAAGAGGAAGGTTAGATGGATTCCTGATCGAGCGGCCCAAGGATGGCCCATGGAGAATCATAGCCCTTATCAGGTGCCAAGTGTGCAACCAAGGTTGTAATCTCCAGACTACCCTTTCCATTTGTGCCCGATAGAGCCATTTGTGCCCGCTGGAAGCTGTGCTGTTTCCGTAATTCCAAAACTTCAGTGCTATCCTCCCCTATAAATATAAAATCCCATTACCCGCAATCAGAGAGGGAGGGAGAGGGGAGAGAAGCTAGAGAGAGAAACGGCCAAAGGGCCCTGGGACTAAGAGTGAGAAAGAGAGAGTAAAGGGAGAAACGGAGAGAAAACAGCGCAGAAATTCGAAATTCGGCAGCATTTCTGTGTTGTTTTCCGTTCCGGTTCCATTTCGGTCTTCCTCTCGTCAATTGCCAAAATTTCTTCCATCCATGAGCCGCTTAGGGTTCAAATCCGTCGTCTACCATGGCGAAGTGTGCCTTGGAGAACTGGACGCTATTCCGGTGACCGGCCAGAATTTCCTGTTCCCCAACAATGAGATACGTATCCACCACATATCACAGAGCGGCCGCTGCTTGCCGCTTTCAGTTCTCCAAACTATCTCTTCTTACTCCGTCCGCTGCAAGTTGGAGTCGTCGTCTCCGGTCGAGCAGCCGCATTTGATCAACCTTCACGCCTCTTGCTTCCATGAACACAAGGTCTCTCTTCCTAAAATGTTGGCGGTGAAGTGTACTTCGTCATTCTTCTGGTCTTTCGATTGATTAATTCTTTTCCCTTTCTGATTTCTTGTACAGACAGCTGTGGTTTTGATAGGAAATGAAGAGATTCACTTAGTGGCAATGCCGAGTAAGGAGAAGAAGTTCCCCTGCTTCTGGTGCTTTGCAGTTCCTTGTGGTCTCTACAGTTCGTGCGTCACGATGCTTGATATGAGGTGCCTTTCTATCGTGTTTGATCTGGACGAGACGCTTATAGTGGCTAACACCATGAAATCATTTGAGGATCGGATTGAAGCTCTTAAAGCTTGGCTTGCTCGTGAGGTCGATCCTGTGAGGATAGCAGGAATGTCTGCTGAGTTAAAGCGATATATGGATGACCGGATGCTCTTAAAGCAGTACTTAGAGAATGATTCTGTAATTGATGGCGGAAAAGTGTTTAAGGTTCAACTAGAGGAGGTTCCGCAGTTATCTGATGCCCAGGAGAAAGTCGTTCGACCTGTGATTAGATTGCAAGAAAGGAATGTTGTCTTGACTCGCATCAATCCGGAGGTATTGTCTGCTTTTTCTACACTGGATTGCTGAATCTGTTTAATATGTGTAGCTTAAAGTCCAGCGTGTGTTGCTTGCCAGTGTGATTCTTACTGTCAGAATTTCCATCATTTGATAAGATTGCAACAAATTTCTGAATATATATGTCTTGGGACATATAACATATATGTGTGTGTGGTATAATTTTTTGGTTCTGAATACCGACATTTTTGTTCAGCTGCTGAGATGATAAAATCTGTATATTTGACTTTCGGTTTGTCAATGTAGATTCGTGATACTAGCGTGCTAGTTAGATTGCGGCCTGCTTGGGAGGATTTGAGAAGCTACCTGACTGCAAAAGGTCGCAAGCGTTTCGAAGTTTACGTTTGTACAATGGCTGAAAGAGATTATGCCCTTGAAATTTGGAGGCTTCTTGATCCTGGGTCTCATCTGATAAATCCAAAGCAGCTCTCAAACCGCGTGGTCTGCGTTAAATCAGGCTAGTAAATTCCGACTGAGAAATGCTTTTCTCTCTCTCTTCTATATCTGCTTTTAGCCCCAATTTGAATGTTGCATTTCTGGTAATCATTTTATTGTTTGCAGGCTCCAAGAAAGCCTTATTGAATGTATTTCAAGATGGAGTTTGCCATCCAAAAATGGCAATGGTAATTGATGACCGGTCAAAGGTTTGGGAAGACAAGGATCAACCTCGAGTCCATGTAGTACCTGCATTTGCTCCTTATTATGCTCCTCAGGCAGAGGTAATAAAAGCTTATGCATCATGAGGTCCTGTTTTCTTTTTCTTCTGCTGCTTCTTTGTCAATTGAAATATTGTTTGGCTGTTCTGGTGCTGTGTCTAGAATGCGAATCCCGTGCCTGTCCTATGTGTTGCAAGAAATGTGGCTTGCAACGTCAGAGGATGTTTTTTCAAGTAAGAGGCACTATGTCTTACTATTGAAACTTCCGTGCATTTATGAATCCTTAGGAGATGTGTGATTGTGTTGCTTACTGGAATTATTTGTGTTGTTATAGAGAATTCGATGAGATCTTAATGCGGAGGATTTCAGAAGTTGTTTATGAAGATGAAATGGCAACTTTGCCTCCGGCTCCTGACGTGAGCAACTACATGATGTCAGAGGTATTTTTGCTGGAACGCTTTGCTTCTGTTGTCAATTGATGAACATGCCACTTACTGTTGATCGCATACTTGTTATTGATTGTAGGATGCTGGTTTTGTACCCAATGGTGCTCCAATAACTGAAGGAATGACTGGTGCAGAAGTTGAAAGGAGAATCTATCTACCAGTGAGTTCTGAGCAGTCAATAGAAGATCTATATGCTGTATGCTGTATGCCAATTTGTTGAGAATCAGTGCTATCTTATAGGATGCTACATGTGCAATCATGATCTGCTGTATGTCCAGTAATGCTCTGATAGACTTATAAATGCTTGTTTTGCTCATTGATCTTCTATTATCTAGGAAGAGAGAAGTGTCAAAGATGGAGTTGCTTATCCAACAAGTAGCACTGACCTGAGATCTGATATCTCCCAACCACCAGTTGCTGTAAATCCAAGTCTTCTTGGTCCAACATCTGCAATGCTTTCTCAAAGTATGGGCTGATATAGTTTCTGACATTTCCAGTGTTGATTTTGAGGTAATAGTACAGAGATCCAGGTTAACTCTTCCTGGCTGATTTTTTCTTACCTTATTTCAGAACCTAGTCTGCTTGGAGCTCCTGTGAGACGAGATGTGAGAAATCAGAACTCTGGACAACCTCCTCTTCTGTCTCGAGTACCTGCACCACCCTTATTACAGCCACAGGGGGGCTGGTTGGTGGAAGATGATGGTAGCAAACTCTATACAAATAGTAGGCCATCAGGTCTTTTACAAGATCCCGAGACCCCTAAACTAGATAGATTGCGGACTGTTACAAATTCATCACAAGTAAAGAGTGAAGAGGTTTGTTTCTCTTCCTTATCCTCTTTGAACAAACTGTTGACTTTGGTTGAAGGTTGGATTTAGGTGATGGATTTGAGTACTAAATCCATGAGAAAAGCGTTTTCCCCCGTCAAACCCTTGTTTGGTAGAGCCAAAAAAGCTGTCAATGGGTTCGATAAGGGTGCAAAATCTGTGGGGCCTGTGGATTTGAATACCCTTTTTTTTACCTTTAACGAAACTACCCATGTGTAACAATCCGCATCTAAAATCCAACATCCAAACAACAAATGTTTGAAACACCTTAGTATGCCAGTCCATCATTATCTGAAACCATTGTTTTGCTATAATCCTTTACTTCTCAAATTGAGTATCTAAACAACCCATTCTGTGAGACTTACAGCTGTATGCGTGAACATTTGACAAGTCGAAGGTCACTTGATTTGCAGGTGTATGCTGGCCCAGACGTGCAGAAACAAAACATTTTACCTGGAAATTTGCCATCAGGTAGGTTTTCGTTTTTCAGTTGCTCTTATAAGTTGGAATTTGAATATCAAATAGACATGTGAATCGAGAATTGAATACTAATTGAAGTCTTTCACAGATGTTGGTATTCCCCTGAATACAGGGTGTGCTAATGGCAGCAGAGAGTCTCAGTCGGAATTTGGGAAGTTGAATGTGTTATCTTCACAATTGTCTATTGGAGTTCTGCTGGAAATCGGCCGTCGGTGCAGCTCTAAGGTACAAAATATATTTAGTTTTCACAATATTTTTTAACTATGACATTTTTCTTGTATCTTCATATTATTTGATTATATGCAGGTTGACTTTAAGCCTGTGGTCAGCACCAGTAAGGACCTGCAATTTTCTGTTGAGGTGTGTTGCTGTTCTATGCATTCTTCCTATTTCTGTAATATATCCGTATTTCTTTCTATATGCTACAATAGACTTGAATCTTGGCTGCATCTCAAAGTGAATGTGTGGGTATGATCGTATGTTCTCTAAGTTGATTGGAGAGGATAACTGTTTTGAACCCCTGGGCTTGGACTATTTTGTCTTCACTTACTGTTTTATGAATCAGATGCATTATACAAGGTTGTGGAGCTTCAAATTCATTTCTTGACTTCGCATTCATTTTAGGTTTCGTTGAATGGTGAGAAGATAAGTGTTGGAATGGGTAAAACTCGGAAGGATGCTCAGCAGCAAGCAGCAGATAATGCCCTTCGCAAGCTGGCAGGTATACATAGTTACATACTATTCGGTTCAATATGCTTTTTAGTTGTGTGCCTTTTGCTGTATGGATAGCTCAAGTACTCGACATAAACATTTTGGTGCAGAGAAGTATGTAGCATATGTTACACCTCATTCTGGAGCAGCGGGCCGAGATTTTGATAAACTCTCTTCCTCCAACGAAAATGGATTCCTTTGGGACACGTTGAATCCTGCGGGGCCTAGTGGAGCAGGAGGGCAGGAAGAAGGCATGCCTAAAGAGGAGAGTCCTGAGGTGGGAACAACTGTTTCTGCTTCTCTTGATAATTGATTTTACATGTCCAAAAAATTACGTAGGGCGATGCTTGGATAAAGGGTATGTGGGGCAAGCAAGAAATTGCCGGATGAGGAATGTGGTTGTTTTTTAGAAGAAACCCACTCCCTTCTTTGGATTTGGCATGACCACCAAGATGCTGACTAGAAGTAAAACAGTGAACGTGAAGTGAGCTGGCTTCATGTCTGCTACTACTGCTGCCTTCCTGTTTTGAGGGTAAGAAAGGTAATGGCTGTGGCGTTCAGACCCTTGTTTCCTACCCCTTATCCAAGTGCTGCCGTGTAATTGAACTGTTACTGTATTTTTCATTTTTTCTCTCATTGATATTTCAACTCTTGCATCCTTGTTCGATGAACAATGGTTGCATGATTCCACAATTTTTTATCCTTGGTTTGGAGAACCCTGCTTGTCCTGGTGTGGGTTCTGGTTCAGCTCTGTGTTTTCTACGTCATTGTATTCGCTTGAACCTTTCCCTCTCGCTTCTGTGTGCGGTGGACAGATTGCTCTGATTGACCTAATGAGATTTGGGTGTTTGCTATGGATACATTGCAGGCTGCTGAAGCTGAAGCTGAAGATGATACCGCCCCTTCCAACTCGGCACATCAGCCAGGGCAGAAGCGCGCCATTTCTCCTAGGTAATGGGAATTTACTTCCTATGCCGATTTCACTGTGGCTCATCTAGAGTCTCCCCGGGGCCCGGACCTGGGTGTAGACATTTATCAAGTCATGGGATTGGTATTTTTGGAAACTGATGTGAAAGCATTGACTGGGATTTCTTTCTCATATGCAGGTTGTCGCAGTCTTTCTCGAGCAAGCGACCGAAGGAGGAAGTGGTTCGAGGTTTGCAATTATATCGGCAGAAGAATGGGCATCACTTTTCATAGCAGAAGCACACCCCCTAATAGAGAGTCCCTTCAACGATACAGAGAAGCCCCCTAATAAAACTTAGGCCTTGGAATGCCATTATATCTCTCTCGTTCGGTTAGTCTACCTTTTCACTCACTCTTTTGGTTAGTCCCGCGAGATACCAGCGTATAGGTTGTTGATTCATTTTCTATAATTGTTGTTTTCTTGGGTTATGATATGTCTGGAAAGATGGGTGCTTTTTGTTTGTAGTCATTACAGTCCCATCGTTTGTATCTACTGTTTGTACTCTACTCGCCATTATAGATCCCATTAAATTGTAAATCCTTTTCCGTAAAATGCTTCTCCATTGTCTATGTTCTTGTTCCAATTTTTCATCAATTTTCTTTTCCGAGTCAATAGCCTTTGTCTTGGCGGCTCGACCACTTTCAGACTTGGGATAAACCTTTTAAATTAGGTGGCACATCGCACTAGGATGACAAAAATATAGCCCGAATTTGATCTAATTAGTATCGTGAAATCCAACTCAATGCCTGAATATTGTGGATGGTGGATAGGTGTGATTATCACAGTATTGAAATAAAATCCATCTGATTATACATAGGCATACGTATTTATTTCCAAAAAGTTAATCGAGTGTACAAAATGCAATTTACCATGCCACATAGAGCTAAGATCCAACTCAGAGGAGTGGAGAAGCTCCACCTTCTGATAGCGCGGCCATTTGAGAAGAGCTTTGGAGGAGCTCGTGTTCTCAGTTGTGACAGAGACAAGGTGCTGGAAATCTGGGAAATTTACCAAAATATTGCCTTTTTTTTTTTAATTTACCACCAATATGGTGGTTTTAAATTTATTTACACAGATATTGTGTTTTTTTGGGGAAAGAGATGCGGGCTCGCAGGAGAGTCAATTTTAACACTATGAAATGCGGATCCAAATTGGATTTGTGCGGACCCGCGTGTGAGTGCTGCGGCCCGCATGGGACTGCTGCGGAAATGCATGGGCTCGGCCTACCCGCATTACTCTCATGCGGATTCGGCCCACAGTGTTGTACCCACTCGAGCATATATTTCCCTCTCCATTTCCTTTCAGTATCACCACCCAAAAACTTCTAAAAAACGAGAGGGAGGAGCTCTGCTGGTTGCTGCAAAAGATGGCTAGGTAAGATACATTTATTTTATAATTATATTATTAAAATGCTATTATAATTTTTTTGGTTAATAATTAGTGCATTTGTTTGTTATGTAGTGATTTTAGGAAATTTGAACTAATTGTTTGGTGGAAATCGGAGAAAGTAGACGACAATTCTGGCGTTCATTTCGTTGGTGGTAGAAGGTTTCAGTTGACAGTTCCATGTCGGGTGACATATCATCAATTTTGTGAGAATCTAATCCCGAGAATACGGCGTAGAGACGAAGCAGTACAAGATAGTGATATGATCACATGTTTCATTTATCGTCTTCCAGAATGGCAGAATGGTGTTCTATTTCATTATGCGATGCCTATTGTGGATGATGATGGTTTGAATGTGCTTTTCGATTTTATGGCACAAAATCCTTATTGTTTGGGTGCTGAGGTACATGCTGAGATTAGTCAGGCTGATCAGGGTGAAGATGATACATGGAGTGTGCCATCTGACCATGATTATGAGGACGAGGAGGAGGAGGAAGAGGAGGAGGAAGATGGGGAAGAAGAGCAGCCTAACTTTCCTCCATATTTTTACTTGCAGGCTGCTGAAGAAGATGATGAATTATCATATGTTGATTCATATGGGGTAATTCCAATGCCTATCGTTTCTGGTTTTGAAGGGGAATTCTACAAAGGCCAGATATTTCACTCGAAACAAGCTGCACAGGTGGCGGTTAAACACCACGCACTACAACACAACTTTCAGTATGGCGTGGTGGAGTCGTCACCTTCAATTTGGAAGGTTAGATGCTTGAAGCATAAGGATGAGAATTGTCCTTGGATGGTGCGGTTTGGATGTCGAGACGTTGGAAGCGAATGGACTGTGAGGAAGGCCGAGTTGGTGCATTCTTGTAGCAATACGACTCAACCGACAGATCATCGTCATCTTGATGTCGACGTTATATCTGAGTCCGTGAAACATTTGGTACGTGCCCAACCTAATCTGAGTGTTCTAACTGTGCAAGCCGAGATGAAAGATAAATTTAATATGCAAGTTACTTATAAGAAGGCTTGGTATGGGAAACAAAGAGCATTGGAGAAGTTGCATGGAAATTGGGAAGAATCCTATGATTATTTGCAAACATTCTTGCGGGTGGTAAAGAGAAAAATGCCAACATCAGTTATTGATTGGGTAAGAGTTCCTTCAGCTCAACCAGGTCATTCGATTTTTCAGCGAGTATTCTGGGCTTATGGACCTTGTATAGATGGATTCAAGAATTGCCCAGGAGTCATGGTTGTTGATGGAACCTTTCTTACTGGAAAGTATAAAGGAGTTCTACTCATGGCGAGCTCATTTGATGGCCGGAAGAAGATTTTTCCAATAGCATTTGCCATTGTGGAGAGCGAGAATACTGAAAGTTGGCCATGGTTTATAAATCGCGTTCAAGGTTTGACCGATCGAAATGACGTATGCATCATCTCAGATAGACATGCGGGACTCTATGAAGCCATGGGTGACATCGGAAGAGGTTGGGAGTGGAGGTGGTGCATGCGACACTATGCAAGCAACTTGAAAAAGAAGACAAAAAGCAAAATTATGTATAACCAATTGGTTCGAGTCGGTAAGTCTCTTCATTGTTATTGATTGACACTCCAACATATTATTTATTTTAATTTAATATTATCATGAATTTATCTAACTCTTGTGGTTATTTATTTTGTTAGCCCGAGAAAAACGCTTGGAGAAGTTCGATCGTCAAGTCGGGGTGCTATCAATGGGAATCGCTCCCACGCCCAGAGCTGTAGCAAGGCGACCCAGCCACCAAGGTCACCTCCGGTGGAGGAGGACTGCGTCAGATGCAGAACCGACCTACCCATCTCACGGTACAGGTAGGCTAGAACAGCTGCTCCCCAAGCGTAGCCTCCTGCGGTCCGCCAATTCTCCAATAGGAGTAGATACTGCAGGTGAACTGTAGCTCCAGTCCGATCGGGGAACATCATAAACCCAATCAAAGATAGGGCATACGCTCGTGCAAACTGCCCTGTAATCTCTGCTGATGCATTTGGCGGCAGATTGTTGAAATGCTCCCTAAGCCAACTAAGCTTAACGACACCCCCGCTAAGATCGTTAGGAGCATGTCCTAACAGTCTGGTACACGTCTCCGACCACTCACGATCTGGTACATCTACTATGACGGCCTCACCGTCAATCGGTAAACCGCTCAGTGTGGCAACGTCCTCAAGAGTGATCGTAACCTCACCGACCGGCATGTGAAAGGTCGATGTCTCAGGACGCCAACGCTCTACTAGAGCGGTGATCAAAGATGCATCTATACAACCAGTCATAGGGACCAACTGCTGAATGCTAAACAAACTGGCATCCTGAAGATACGGCTCATAACGTGGATTGTACGTGACCAATTTGGTCGTACCACGAGTCTGGTAAACACGATCACCAGCCTATAGTGCACAAAACTTATATATTCAATTTCATGGCATAATTCTATTTTCAAAACATATTGTAAAATCTATCTAATTTACTAAAAATATATGTAATGAAAACTAATACTAATTTCACATGCAATTATAATATTTCAATTTACCTAGTAAAATCAATATAATTTAGTAAAATATATCTAATCAAACAAATACTAATTTCACAAAATCTAAAACTAATAATAATTTCACAAAATTTCACATGCAATTTTAATATTTCAGTTGACCTAGTAAATCAATCTCATTTAGTAAAATATATACAATCAAACTAATACTAATTTCACAATATTCTAATCTAATTAGCTAATGAACTTTAATGAAATAAAATACATAAAATACTTACCTCGTTAATCCAAACTGAGTCGGCACGATGTTGACCATGTGCCCAAAGGAGTACTGAATCGACCGGAGCTGTATCTATCGTCGCAGGTGGTCGTCTCGTAGAATGCCTGTCAAGAATCCTAGGAACTGCAAAAAAAAAAAAAAAAAAAAAAATTAGAAGCAGAAAATAAAATCCCGCCGGCAGCGACTTTCCGGTCGCCGGCGACGACACTCCGGTGACCGGCGGCAACTTTCCAACCGATGCTTACTTCGGTACCGCCCGCGTGCTTGCTGTCCTCCTCTTCCACGGCCTCTTCCTCCGGCGGCCGCCTGTTCTTCGTCGGAGTCCGACATCACTAGAAAAACAGATCTGATTCTGCTCGGCGTCTCTACTCTGCTGCGCTTCCGCGTGACACTCGACCGAATCCGCGCTAGTTCGGTGCGAATCCGCCTTTAAATGTGGGTTTTGTGGCGGTGGGCGAGCGGGGCGTGGCGGGGCGGCGATGGATGGGGCGGAGGGTTGGGGGCGGGGCGGTGGGTTCTGGGAGAGAAAGGCGCTGCGGATGAAGGGGGGGGGGGAGAAGAAGATAAGAAGAAAGAAATTGATGCGAACCCGCAGGAGTCCTCTGCGGGTTCCTTCTTCTTATGCGAATGCGCAGGAGTCCCATGCGGGTCCGCACCACTTTCCACAATAAATCGAGACTCCTGCGTGTCCGCAGCTCTTTCCCCAAAAAACACAATATCTATGTAAATAAATTTAAAACCACCATATTGGTGGTAAATTGAAAAAAAAACACAATAATTTGGGAAATAACCCTGGAAATCTTCACTAAATTGAATGGAATTGAGAGTTCTCTCGTCGGCGGTCGAGCTAGATCTAGCTTTAGATCCTGATATCTAGAACACTAAAATTAAAAAGCCCCACTCCGCAGCTATGCCAGAGCTAAACTAACAATTCAGGTTTCAGTAGACATATAAAAACACCATCACCAGATAGCTCTCCTCGCAAAAAGGTTAGAGCCTGCGACTATGTTCATAGCAAGGTTGGAATCGCAGACCAACGACATAGTTAGTTCTGTTTTGTGGTTTTGTGAAGATAGGGAGGAAAATGAAATGAGCGAATTCAAGGAAGGGGGATGCGAGGTTTGGGAAAATAATGCTTCAAGTTGCGAAGGAAGAAATTTATATTGCGAGTTAGAGGGAGAAAGTGCGGAGGATAGGAAAAGGACGTGATATCTAGAGAGAGATTTGAGGTAGAGGCTTTGTGCTACTGGCAGATAGTAGATAGAGAGAGAGAGAGAGAGAGAGAGAGAGAGAGAGGGAAACATGTTGAGTTGGCTTGCCATGTGACATGCTAAATTACAATTTGATACCCATTGTTAACTCTTTGAACGAAAATATTAACTATGCTTCTGTAATTGAAGTTAGATGGTTTATGTGCAATTAGTAGAGTTTAAGAGATTACCATGCACTTAACTTTGTAAAACTTAAACTGTTTAGTATATGTCTATTCGATCCGACCCGTTGCCAGGAATTGATTGGTTAGAGATTGATATATTTTGTTGGGTTTCACAAATCTGAATAGAATATTCCACTACAGTCACCTGGGCACTACAGTTTAACAACTATAAGATTACTTGTTTGTGTGCAGTAGAGATGTTCATTTGGCGCCCATTACACAAACGATACTCCCAGATGCTCTCTGCTCGGTCAGTGGGGTTCAGGATTGAAGTGTCTTCCCGTTTATTGCCTCATCTCCTACGACGCGGGACTCGACTCTTTGCAAACTGGTTGGCAATACAGACGAGATGGGTTTCAGTTTTAGTGGTATGACCTGTTGTAAGCATCTTTATTGATGAATTTGGCAAAAGAGAGGAAGACTGGAGGAATGGAGGATTTACAGAGAAGGAAGTTGATGAGGTCATCAAAACCAAGTCCATTTCGTCACAAGAGGGGCCAATTACACGTCTACAAGCAAAGAGGTTAAGGGAGGAGTTTGCTGCATATTTGGATCGTCACTTTGCTCAAATGGACGTGGATCATCATCATGGGAAGACCATTACATTGCTACAACTCGTGGGCCAGCATGAAGGACGAATGGGCTTGGAAGGAGAAGAGGATTCGGCTAAGGAAGAGGAGGGGAGTCTCAAGTGTGAAAAGGGTCAAGGTGGGAACACAAGGGAAGGATAGAACCTAGGGAGTTGTTGACCAAGTCTTTTACTTGTCTTTTAAGGATTGTGTTTTCCTTTTACTTGTCTTTTAATGATTGTGTTTTTCCTTTTACTTGTAGGATTTGTTTTTCATTTTAAGCTTTGGATTTGTGTTAGCTAGTCTATAAATAAGAGGCTGAGTTCCTCATTGTAACTCATTCAATTATCAATCAACTTTCAAGTTACAAGTTCATACGAACTAGTTCTTTGTGCAAGCTTCTGTTGAGAGTGCTCCAGGAGTTTCACGTGTCTCTTATCAACTAGAGAACGCGTCTAGTTGTGGCGAGCTTCTACCCAATAGCGATTGGCCTTATTCACGAGTGGGTGATTGTTTGATTGGTTTCATATACCAATTGGCCTTTCACACGAGTTGGAATCTGTTTGATCGTGTTCCATCATTATCTTTTGTTCGAGTTCTTGTTCGTTGGAGAAAAGCTTCGAAAACCCATAAAAAGTAGGAAAGCTGCGTACTTTGGTCACATCAAGTGGTATCAAGAGCCCGGTTCAAACGCAGCGGAGAAGAAGGTTCTTTGACAATCTTGTCGTGTTCTTGAAGGTTTTGACGTCATCGTAAAGGATCTTGGAGGAGTCTTTACGTTCTTGAAGGTTCTTGCGAGCTATCTTGAAGGAGTAATTAGTGCCGCAAATATGGGAGACGAGATCAAGGCATTGACTGATCAAATCCAAGCGTTACTTCAAGCACATACCACCAGCCAGAGGGAGATTCAAGCGGCGCTACAAGCTCAAAATGCAAGAATGGAAGCTTGGGAAACACGGATGCAAGCACCACCAAACCCTAACCCTAATGTTGCTGCTGAAAGGGCTAGGAGGGAAGAAGAAGATCGTGGAGAGAGAAGGGTGGTACAACGACCCGTGTTCGAACATGCTAGGCGACATCGGCCAATGGGTGGACTACATGCAAGACGAGGCCAGCCTCGTGATGAAGAGGTCGAATATGAGGATGACGAGGGTTACCTTCGAGATGAAGATGATGATTTGAGGAATATTAAGGTCAACATACCATCGTTCAGAGGTTCTACTAATCCCGAGGCTTACCTAGATTGGGAACGAAAGATGGAATTGATCTTCGATTATAACAACTATTCTGAGAGGAAGAAAGTACAAGTGGCCGCACTCGAGTTTACGGATTATGCCATTGTGTGGTGGGATCAAGTAAGCATGAGGAGGAGGAAGAATAGGCAGCCACCTATTGAGACATGGGCAGAGATGAGAACTGTAATGCGGGATCGATTTGTGCCTAGTTCTCATCGTAGAGAGATGCATCAAGCCCTACAACTTCTGCGCCAAGGTACCAAGAGTGTAGAGGATTATTACCGCGAGATGGAGATGCTAATGATTCGAGCGGATTTGGAGGAAGATCGTGATGCTACCATTGCACGATTCTTATATGGGCTTAATCGAGAAATTAGAAATGTGGTGGAACTTCACCCCTATGCGGATCTATACGATTTGGTTGCAATAGCAGCCAAAGTGGAGAAACAACAACGTAGTAACGTTGGGAGGAGATTCACGCCACCACAAGTAGCACCAAAGCCAGGAACGCCTTCAACTTCAAACCCTAGGCCAGCCATAACGAAGCTAGAAGCATCAACACAGGCAGCCAAGGTTGAAGCACCAAGAGACAAGCCCACAGGCTCTAGTGGAGGCATTCAATGCTTCAAATGTCATGGAAGAGGGCATATGGCCAACCAATGCCCTAATCGAAGAGCTCTAGTCCTACTAGAGAATGGAGAATATGTCTCGGATTCCGAAGAAGAGGAGCACGCGAGGGAGCCATCAGAATCTGAAGTTGACGAATCAATAGAAATGGAGCCCCCTCCTGGAAGTTTGCTTGTCACGAGAAGAATGCTAAGCGTGCAACCCAAAGAAGACCTCGAGCAAAGGGAGAACCTGTTTCACACGAGATGTGTAGTGGATGGGAAGCTGCTCGCCGTGGTGATTGATGGCGGAAGTTGCACTAACGCTATTAGTACCATAGCGGTTAGCAAACTGGGATTGAGCACAATCAAGCATCCCAAACCCTACAAGCTTCAATGGCTCAACGAGGATGGTTCAATTAAAGTGGCAAGGCAAACTCTTCTTAAATTTGCCATTGGAGGATATAAGGACGAAGTTCTGTGCGACGTAGTACCTATGCAAGCTACACACGTCCTACTTGGAAGGCCATGGCAGTTCGATAGAAGCGCGCAACATGATGGAGTCTCCAACAAGTATCAAGTGTTACATAATGGAAAGAAAATCGTGTTAAAGCCCTTGACTCCCAAGGAAGTATATGAGGATCAACGACAACTCCAAAGAAACCGGGAGAAAGAAGCTATTGTCGTGGAACAGAAGCAAGGAGGAGAAGATTGCAAGTCAATGATGATAGCACGAAGTGGAGACGTGAAGCAAGCTATAAATCATGGTGACTCCATGATCATGATCATCTACAAGGAAGCCCTACTGAATCAAGAGCTTGTTCAAGATATACCACCTAGGGCACGAGTGGTTATAGAGGAATTTGAAGATGTCTTTCCCGAAGAAGCTCCCAAGGGTTTACCTCCAATTCGCGGGATTGAACATCAAATCGACTTTGTTCCTGGGGCTACTATTCCAAACAAGGCAGCCTATAGAACGAACCCAGAGGAAACGAAGGAATTACAAAGGCAGATTGAAGCGCTTATGGAGAAAGGACATGTTCGAGAGAGTATGAGTCCTTGTGCGGTTCCAGTCATTCTTGTGCCAAAGAAAGATCAGACATGGAGGATGTGTGTTGATTGTCGAGCAGTCAACCAAATTACTATCAAGTATCGTCATCCCATACCACGATTGGATGACATGCTCGATGAACTACATGGATCGAGCTTATTTTCAAAGATTGATTTGAGGTCCGGCTACCACCAGATTCGAATGAAAGAAGGAGATGAATGGAAGACAGCGTTCAAGACAAAGCATGGATTATACGAGTGGATGGTGATGCCTTTCGGTCTTACAAATGATCCAAGTACGTTCATGAGGTTGATGAATCATGTGTTGAGAGCTTTTATTGGGAAGTTCGTGGTCGTCTACTTCGATGATATTCTGATCTATTCAAAGAGTATGGAGGAGCATCTTGATCATTTGCGAGAAGTGTTGAAGACTTTGAGGAAGGAGAAGCTCTATGCCAATCTTAAGAAGTGCACGTTCTGTACTTCGAATGTGGTATTTCTGGGATTCGTAGTAAGTGCGAATGGTGTCGAGGTTGATGAAGAGAAGGTGAAAGCTATTCAGGCATGGCCAACCCCTACCAACGTGAATGAAGTGAGGAGTTTTCATGGGCTGGCTGGATTTTATCGACGATTCGTCCCAAATTTCAGCACTATTGCCGCCCCATTGACTTCAATTATCAAGAAGAATGTGACGTTTCATTGGGGTGAGGATCAAGGGAAGGCATTCGAGCAACTCAAGTACAAGCTCACTCATGCTCCTGTTTTAATGCTACCCGATTTCAACAAGACTTTTGAAGTGGAGTGTGACGCATCTGGATTGGGAATTGGGGCTGTATTGATGCAAGAGAAGAAGCCCATTGCTTACTTTAGCGAGAAATTGAGTGGAGCTACGCTTAACTATCCTACCTACGATAAGGAGCTCTATGCATTGGTTCGAGCCCTAGAGACATGGCAGCATTATCTATGGCCCAAAGAGTTCGTGATCCATACTGACCATGAGTCTCTCAAGTACTTGAAGGCCCAACACAAGTTAAACAAGAGGCATGCTCGTTGGGTGGAGTTTATTGAGTCGTTTCCCTATGTGATCAAGTACAAACAAGGCAAGGAAAATGTGGTTGCTGATGCATTGTCGAGGAGGTACACGTTGATCACTACTATGGATGCTAAGTACCTTGGATTCGAGCAAATCAAGGCTGCTTATGAAGGGGATTTCGACTTTGGAGAGATTTACAAGGCTTGTGAGAAGCATGGAGAAGGAAAGTTCTACCGAAGTGATGGGTATCTCTTTCGTGGTAATCAATTATGCATACCTAGGACATCACTTCGACAGCTATTGTTAAGGGAAGCTCATGGAGGAGGATTGATGGCTCACTTTGGTGTAGCCAAAACACTAAGCTGTTTACAAGAGCACTTCTATTGGCCTCACATGAAAGGAGACGTGGAGAACTTATGCGCACGATGTGTGGAGTGCCAACATGCTAAATCGAAGATGCAACCATCTGGGTTGTACACGCCACTACCTATTCCATATGCACCATGGGTCGACATTTCAATGGATTTTGTGCTAGGATTGCCGAAGACAAGGAGAGGCAGGGATTCAATTTTCATCGTGGTGGATCGTTTCTCGAAGATGGCACATTTCATTCCATGCCATAAGACGGATGATGCAAACAACGTGGCTGATTTGTTCTTCAAGGAGATCGTGAGGTTGCATGGAATGCCACGTACCATTGTGTCTGATCGAGATGCAAAGTTTCTAAGCTACTTCTGGAAGACATTGTGGAGTAAACTCGGCACAAAGCTTCTGTTTTCAACAACTTGTCATCCTCAAACGGATGGACAAACTGAAGTGGTCAATCGTACTCTATCCCAAATGCTACGAGCTGTGATCAAGAGCAACATCAGAACTTGGGAAGATTGTCTACCACATGTCGAGTTTGCCTACAATCGAGCTGTGCATTCAACCACAAAGCATTCGCCTTTCGAGCTCGTGTATGGGTTCAATCCACTTACACCATTGGATTTGACACCTCTGCCATTGAAGGAACAAGTTAACATGGATGGAGCAAAGAAGGCTGAATTTGTGAAAAATCTCCACGAGAAGGCAAGATTGAACATCGAGAGGAGGACGGAGCAAATCATGAAGAACGTCAATCGCAATAGGAAGCCTCGATCATTTGAAGTTGGAGATTGGGTGTGGGTGCACATGAGAAAGGAAAGGTTTCCTCATCAAAGGAGATCCAAACTGTTACCTCGAAGTGAAGGTCCCTTCCAAGTTATTTCGAAGGTTGGAAGCAATGCCTACAAAATCGATTTGCCAGGAGAGTATGGGATAAGTGCAACCTTCAACGTTTCTGACCTTGCACCATATTTGGAGGACAATTCGGATTTGAGGTCAAATCCTTTTCAAGAGGGAGGGGCTGATGAGGTCATCAAAACCAAGTCCATTTCGTCACAAGAGGGGCCAATTACACGTCTACAAGCAAAGAGGTTAAGGGAGGAGTTTGCTGCATATTTGGATCGTCACTTTGCTCAAATGGACGTGGATCATCATCATGGGAAGACCATTACATTGCTACAACTCGTGGGCCAGCATGAAGGACGAATGGGCTTGGAAGGAGAAGAGGATTCGGCTAAGGAAGAGGAGGGGAGTCTCAAGTGTGAAAAGGGTCAAGGTGGGAACACAAGGGAAGGATAGAACCTAGGGAGTTGTTGACCAAGTCTTTTACTTGTCTTTTAAGGATTGTGTTTTCCTTTTACTTGTCTTTTAATGATTGTGTTTTTCCTTTTACTTGTAGGATTTGTTTTTCATTTTAAGCTTTGGATTTGTGTTAGCTAGTCTATAAATAAGAGACTGAGTTCCTCATTGTAACTCATTCAATTATCAATCAACTTTCAAGTTACAAGTTCATACGAACTAGTTCTTTGTGCAAGCTTCTGTTGAGAGTGCTCCAGGAGTTTCACGTGTCTCTTATCAACTAGAGAACGCGTCTAGTTGTGGCGAGCTTCTACCCAATAGCGATTGGCCTTATTCACGAGTGGGTGATTGTTTGATTGGTTTCATATACCAATTGGCCTTTCACACGAGTTGGAATCTGTTTGATCGTGTTCCATCATTATCTTTTGTTCGAGTTCTTGTTAGTTGGAGAAAAGCTTCGAAAACCCATAAAAAGTAGGAAAGCTGCGTACTTTGGTCACATCAGAAGTGTTGATGAGAAGAAGACTTTTTTTTTTACAGAGCTATAGCTAGAGCTAGAAAGGGAAAGTAACTATCAGCTTTACAATTGGTCCAAGATACCCCGTCGCATATAAGCTGTAGCTATTTATACTTTGACGACCTACACACGTCATCACGCCAGCTGGCTTGGGTTGTTACAACCCCCCTTCTCAGAGACAACTTGCCCTCAAGCTGTGTTCAAGATGGAAAAGTGGAATATTGCTCCTTGAAGAAGAGCAAATCTTCCCAAGTAGCATCCTCTGGTGTCTCATGTGTCCACTGCACAAGAAGCTGCCTTACAGCTTGGTTGTCTTTATTCACAAACCGTCTGGCCAAAATTTGCGTTGGTGCAACCTTCAAGGTTCCATTAGCATCCGAATCAGGAAGCTGCAGGGTAGCAGGAGGAACGGTGGATCAACACATTTCAACTAAGAAAAATGGAACACATAATGCACCTGTGAACTCGCTGGTAAGGCTAACTTGTAGGCCATGTTACCAATTCTTGCAAGCACTTGATAGGGGTCGACATAACGAGTGTTGAGTTTGTTGCCATGACGTCCCATCACTGAACCTTGTCTATAGGGTTGCAAATGAAGATAAGCCCAAATACCAGGCTGCATTACCCTCTTAGAACGCCTCTAATCAACATACTACTTTTGTTTATTTTGAGATTTTGAAATGTTGTGTCAGAAACTGAACCAACTGATGTTGCTTCGATACTCGCTCCTCAACAACTTTTACTAACGTAGCAATTTGGTGAGTTAAGGCCGAAGAAGTTAGGGGGAAACCCATAAAGTGCTTCAACAGGGGACATCTGCAGACTGAGGTAGAAATAGGTATTATAGCACCATCCAGCTCACTCGCATCGCACATCAGGTCAAACAGGAAAGACCAATCCGGAGTCACATGATGGTTGCATGGTAAGCTGTGCACTCTGGAGTGAAGTGGAAGGGTGCATCATTCTCTAGCAGCTTGGTCAAAGACAAGACGATCTTCGAAAAATCATTGATGTATCTCTGGTAGAAGCCTACATGACCCATTAAGCTGCGGATCCACTTCACAGAACTACGAGGAGTCTTAATGTTTGCCCGATCTTACTCAATCCCCTGGTTAGAGATTGTGTGCCCAAGCAAAATCCCTTCGCGAACAATGTATTGACACTAGGGGTGGGATTCGGTCGGTAAACAATTTACCGTTTACCGAATTTACCGGTTTCGGTATACCGAAGTTGGCCAAACTGGTTACCGATTACCGATACCGGTTTGTAACCGGTTTACCGATTACCGAATTACCGGTAAACGGTAACAAACCGGTATTACCGAAATACCGTGAGAAGCGATTTCGGGCGATTTTTTCGGTCGGTTTACCGAATATTTACCGAACCGAATCTCTGGAAGTGGGGTGATGTTGTAATATTTCGATTTTTTTGAGTTTTTTTCATCATTTTAGTAATTAATAATTTATTATTAACTCTTATTTACAATATTTTTGAGGCCTATACTTACATTCATGTATGTAATATTTTATATTAACTCTTATTTACAATATTTTTGAGGCGCAACACTAGGGAGTAGGGAGGGGGGATTCGGTATCGGTAATACCGATTTACCGTCGGTATTTACCGATACCGTTTTCGGTAAACCGACTCCCCCAACTTCCCGCTCGGCTACCGATACCGCCGGTAAACGGTTTACCGTTTAGCGCCGGTTACCGGTTCGGTAAAACGGTAAACCGTTTACCGGATTACCGTTTACTACCCCTAATTGACACTTCTCCCAGTTGAGTGCCAAGTTTGTCTCCTCGCACCTCTTCACGACGAGTTCCAGGTTATGGAGACAATGAGTGGAGTCTCCATAAACCGAGAAATCGTACATGAAGACTTCCTTGAAACGATGACGCGTCTGCACTCCGTAAACCAAGGGGTAATTTAGATAAGAGATTGTAGTGAGTGATTCATAAGAGATTTTAAAAGAATCACTCATTATGCAGGATTTTAAAACAATCTCTCGTTTGGACAGATGAGAATTTTCGCAATAAGGAAATTTAAAAACCCTCAAATATGAGTTTTTGAAATAGCTGATGACCATAAACTATTTCACAGTCCCTCGTTATTTTTATTTCTTTTCCGTAACTATCCCTTTCCAAAACCTTTTTATTTATTTCTGAGCCCTTTCCAAAACCTTTCCTTCTCTTCCATCTCTTCCCGCTTATCTTCCTCTACTGAATTCAATAGCCGTCAACCTCATATCTCGTTGTCCCTCCCAAACCATCCGCCCTTTCAACTCTTGAAGCCTTCCTCAATTGAGCACCGACTGGATTTTGTGGATGCTTGGAGCGGCGGGGGCAGCGCCTGCTTCCACATCTTCTTCTCTGCTCCACCGCCACAGAATCATTCAATTCTCTATTAGCTATACCATCAATTGGATCGAAGTGCAGGAGACAATGGTGGTGGTTTTCTACTTTTCTCCTCTCCTCTCCACATCCGCCGTCAATGACCTCCCGATTCGTCCCAGCCTCATCGACAAACCCTAAGATCCCGATTCGTCGTCAAATCCTCGGCGACCCTCAGACCACAGAGGGCGCTGACTATAACTGACGACGCTGTCCAATTTCAGGGCACAGGAGGAAGATATCGTGAGGAAGAAGATGGGAGTGAGGGAGCGGGTTGAGGCTGGTGGATACGAGAGTAAGATGGTACTCGTACCCTGTTTGGTCAGAGTAAGCAACTCGTACCCAACTTCTGGGTTTCTATTGGTGGCTGAAATTGCTACGGATTCTCATTGATCTCTTGTGAGTTACAATGCTATATTTATACAGGTTGTGGGATAACAGAATAACAGAGTGGCAGAGTGGGTGCGAAGGAGTAGGAACAACCACAACGGGAAGCAGGAGACTCGGTCTCCTTATCATGCCCCCGCAAGTTGAGGGGCAGTGACCTTCAACTTGGTCTTGAAATGATGAAACTTCTGGCGAGGTAGTGGTTTGGTGAGGACGTCGGCGATTTGATCATCGGTGGAGATATAACGCACAAGCAGCTGACCGGTAGCTACCCTTTCGCGGACGAAATGGAAATCGATTTCCATGTGTTTGCTTCGGGAATGAAAGACTGGATTGGCGGTGAGGTAGGTGGCACCGAGGTTGTCGCACCAGAGCGTTGGAGCCGTGGGAAGAGAGACGCCAATTTCGGTGAGGAGGGATTGGATCCAAATGATCTCAGCGGCAAGTGTGGCAAGTGCTTTGTACTCAGCTTCGGTGGACGAGCGAGCGACGGTACGTTGCTTGCGAGAAGACCAGGAGATGAGATGTGAGCCAAGATAGACAGCATACCCTGTGGTGGAGCGGCGGTCCGAGGCACAGTTTGCCCAGGCGGCGTCGGAGTAGCCGGATAACTGGGTTGAGGAGTGTTTGCTGAAGAAGAGACCATGGTCAGAGGTGCCGCGCAAGTACCGTAAAATCCGTTTGACGTCGGCCCAATGATGGAGGAGTGGATTTTGCATGTGTTGTGCACAGTAGTTGACCGCCTGAGAATGTCCGGGCGAGTGAATTGTAGATATTGAAGTGCTCATACGATCTGGCGGTAGAGGATTGTGTCCTGAAATGTAGTGGTATCGGGAGAGTTGGTGGAGACTGCCGCCGGAGTGGAGATAGTGTTAGCCGTGGACATGTTGGCGCGCTGAAGGATGTTGGTGAGATACTTGTGCTGAGAGAGGAAGAGTCCTGTAGGTGTCCAGATTGCATCAATGCCGAGGAAGTACGAGAGGCGACCAAGATCGCGGACAGCGAACCGCTGCTGCAAGAAAGCAAATACACTTTGCAGAGCAGAGGGAAGATTGCCTGTGATCAAATATCATCAACGTAGACCAGAACATAAATACGTATAGAACCCCGGATAAGAATAAAGAGGGAGGTGTCTGTCTTGGAGCCATGAAAGCCGTAGTCCTCGAGGGCGCGCCGGAGACAATGAAACCAGGCTCGGGGAGCCTGTTTGAGGCCGTAAAGAGATTTCTTCAACCTGCAGACATGAGTGGGATGTGCAGGATCAATGAAGCCGGGTGGTTGCTGCATGTAAACAGTGTCAGTGAGGCTGCCATGAAGAAAAGCATTGGCGATGTCGAGCTGGCGGATGGGCCAGTTGTGGGTGATAGCAAGTGAGATGATGAGCCTGAGGGTGGTGGGCTTGAGAACAGGGCTGAATGTATCACCATAGTCAAGGCGGGGACGTGCTGGAATCCGCGAGCAACTAGTCGGGCCTTGTAACGATCAATTGTGCCGTCTGCCTTTGTTTTTATGCGAAACAGCCACGTACAGGAGAGAATATTGTCAGGGATGGACGATGGAACTAACTCCCAGGTTTGATTTTTGAGGAGTGCACGGTATTCTTCTAGCAGCATGGCAGCACGCCACAGGGGGTCTTTCATGGCCTGGCGAGCATTGGTTGGAATGGGAGGTAAGGTTGTGGTGGATAGGTAAGTTTTGGGTTTGATGTGGCCAGTCTGTGTGCGCGTGCGCATGTGGTAAGAAGGAGGAGGGTGAGTAACAGGGAGGGGGGAAGAGGAGGGTTGGGGTGGACGGATTGTAGAGGGACGAAGGGTGGTGGGCCGAGAGGTAGAGGTTGGGGTGGTGTTGGGACGAGAGGTATTGGGAGGTTGTAGTGGGCGGGGCCGAGTGGGTAAGTGGGAACGTGGCTTGGTGGGATGAGAAGGGATGGGTAGTGGGCTGGGAGGTGTGGAGGATTGGTGGGGCTGAGGTGGAGGGTGGCTGATTGTAGGTGGATGGGATGGCGGGTGGGCTGTAGGAAGTGTTGGGCCAAGTGTAGCTGAGGGCCCAGGTGGGGAGAAGAGAATGGGTGGTGTAGGTAAAGGGGTGAGTGAAGCAGGTCCAGGGTGGGGAGCAGTAGGGGGAGCTGGTATGGGTGGAAGAAGTTGGGCATTTTGGAAGGGAAAACATGTTTCATCGAAGAGTACGTGGCGGGAGATATGGAGTTTGTGAGTGGCAAGGTTGTAGCAACGATATCCTTTGTGGGCGGGACTATAGCCGAGAAAGACACAGGGGGAGGAACGAGGTTGAAGCTTGTTACGATTTAAGGGTCGTAGCCAGGGATAACAGAGGCAACCAAAGATGCGAAGGGTAGAATAATCAGGAGGGGAAGAGTAGAGAGCCTCGAGTGGGGTGCGAGAGGAGAGTAAAGGGGTGGGAAGGCGATTAATGAGATAGACGGCGGTTTCAAAAGCATAAGACCAGAACTTGATGGGAACGGAGGCATGATGAAGAAGAGCCAGCCCGGTTTCGACAATATGGCGATGTTTGCGTTCAGCACAGCCATTTTGTTCAGGAGTGTATGGGCAGGATGAGCGATGAGTGATTCCTTGAGATTTGAGATAAGTGCCGAGTTTTTGATACTCACCGCCCCAGTCCGCTTGAAAGGTTTTGATGGGGCGATTGAAGAATTTCTCAACATGAGTGCGAAATTGAACAAAAATATCGAGAAGGTTGGAGCGATAGCGAGTTGGAAAAATCCATGTAAATTTACTGAAATGATCATAAAAGAGAATGTAATATAGATAACCATCAACAGAAAGTTCGGGTGATGGACCCCACACATCGCTACATATCAAGTCTAAGGGG